TTCTGATTTCATTTTTTCCAGATCCTCTTTTGTTGCCAGTTCAGGGAGTCCAGGTGGTTGAGTATCAGAGTATTCCATCTCATTTCCATTTGGCGTTGCTCTAGGTGATCTGGAAGTCTGGTTTTGAGACTTGTTTACGTGTCTTCTCATTTCGACCCAGGGGGTGAGGGGCGCTGTTTGCCCCCACGTGGCTCACCTCCTCTCATCTGGGATCAGTGGGATGGGGCCAGGAAGCCCCTTCCTCTGGGCCAGCAGTGAAGGTATGGAGAGAGGCCTGGAAGCCCCCTCCTCTCGGCTGTGTAAGTTTCTATATTTCATAAACATTTTAGTCAAAAGTGTAATTTATGTAAATGTAGTGGTCTGCCCCTGCTTACCATGAGATGTTGAAAGCTAAAAATGTGTTCAAAATGTTTTCAAATGGCAAAATGAGCTTGTGGAATAAATGTCAAATTGCCTATCATAGGGACATCTTTAGCTGTCACTCCCGTAGTCACAACTGGACTTTTTGTAGAAGACAGTGTCATTTCCTACAATGCCAGTGCTGCTTGGATGTTCCTGTTCGCAGCCCTTGTTGTTATGGAAAATTCCCTCTTCACCTCAATGGCCTATGACTATTATGCAGCAGTGTGCAAACCCCTGCACTACACCACCACCATGACCACAAATGTGTGTGCAGGTCTCATCATAGGCTGCTATGTCTATGGCTTCCCGAACTTCTCTATGCACAGTGGGGATGCATTCAGTCTCTCCTGCTGTAAGTCCAATGTGGTCCATCACTTTTTCTGTGATGTTCCAGCAGTCATGACTTTCTCTTGCTGTAACAAATATGTTAATGAGCTGGTTCTTGTTTATCTCATGAGCTCCCATATTTTCTTTCCCTTCCAAGTTATCTCACCATCCCACATCTTCATTTCTGTCATCGTCCTAAGGATGCACTCAGCTGCAAGACATCACAAAGCTCTATCCACCTGTGCCTCCCACCTCACTGCCATCTCCATCTTTTATGGGACTATGATCTTCATGTACCTACAGCCCAGCTCCATTCACTCCATGGACACTGAGAAAATCGCCTTTGTGTTCTACACTATAGTCATCTCCATGCTGAACCCTCTGGTATACAGCCTGAGGAACAAGGAGGTCAAGAGTGCATTATTCAAGGTCAAGAGTACTTTCATTTATTGGACACAAAATACTGCATAGGATTTTACTTTCATTTTTGGAAAATGCACTATTTCTGGATACATCTCTTTCAGACCTCCTCTAAATTCTGTATTTTGTTCATTTCCCTCTTTAATGACCATCCTTCTTGTAGCATACACTTTAGTTGACTTCTATCCTGTGCTTTCCCACAATCCCCTGTCAGGAAGTTGGATGAGTTGCTGGAGTTGCAGGATCTTTTAAGAAGAGTTCCATTATGCCCTAGGTCATGGCTGGCCTTGGAGAGCAAGGGCCAAAAATATTTTTTGGACTCTCAGGCCTCTAATCTTCCTTAGCTTTGGTTTCCATGCCTAAGTTTTTGAACACCTAGAAGTTCAGTTACACTAGTTTGGAAGTGAGAGCAATAGGTCATAATCCTATTATACTCCCTTTGGCTATTGGGGCACCTTGGAACTTAAAGTATGCTCCAAGAACAGCTATTACATCCATGAATTGAGTCAGCATCACTGTCAAGAGTAGTGCCATGCTCTGTCTGTCCTGTGGGGGAGGGCTTATCATTTCAACACACTGTCTAGATTGTCTTTAGAAGCCATATTCATGCACAATGCAAGCGGACACCACTTATAAAGTTTTGCAAAAAAAATTCAAAAAAAATACAAGCAAACATAGCACTTTAAGATAACAATTATGAGGGCCAGGGATTTAGCCCAGTGGTTCTGTCGCCTGCCTCACAAGTGCAAGGACCCAAGTTCGATCCCTGGTACCAAAAAAAAATTATGTACATAACAATTATGATCACATTAGCATAACAGAACCGTTAAGTTCCATTATCTCTTTAGAAATACACTGAAATTTCTGTTTCAGTGTAAAATACCTTGGCAATAATAGTTACCCCATCTTTACTGTTTTTTTCTTTTTTTAAAATTAACTTTATTGGTACATTATAGGTATATATTATGATCACATTCATCATTGGGAATTTGTAATGCATCCCACTATATAAAGCAAGTATTAATGGACATGAGTAATCAAATAAGCACTAATACAATAGTAGTGGGGACCTCAATACCCCACTGTCACAAACAGACTCAACTTTACTCTTAAGTTTTTAAGCACATCAAGGGACTTCAGTCTCCATAACACATGAGCCCACTCCCATAACCAATCTCTTCTTATACATTGTTTCACTTGAGAATCTCAACTAAAATACTGGTGTTTCATTAACACAATTTAATATTTGACTTGGTAATATGTTGTTGGTTAAGAATTCTTCTTTTTTTCACTGTTTTTTTAGTATAGTCCTAATTTTTTTTCCTACCTGAGATTGAACTCAGGGCCTTGCGCTTGTGGGGCAGGCACAGCACCACTGAGCTAAATTTCTGGCCAACAATTGCATTACATATTATGAAATGAAATATGTGATCTTTTAAGCACATTTTAAGGAGAGATGAAAAAATGTGGCATCTCAGGTGAATTAATATTTATTTTTGACTAAGTCATTTTATACAACCAACAGGTTCATATTTCATTTTTCAAAAGTATAAAATAGAACAAGAAAATGAAGGAAAACTAATTATGTTTTAATATATCTATATATTACTATATATATTCAGACTAAAATTAGAGTAAAAAATGAATTGTGCTGTACATTGCTATTTGCAAACACATCAAAACTGTAATACTTATTACCATTCATTTCTGCTGTACTTGAGTTACATTTTCTCTCACACTCAGTGATCTTTTAACTTCTTTGCATTGATTTTCTTGCCATTTCTTCACATCAACCAAGCTCGTACTACAGGGCTTTTGCACTTGCTATCTCCTGTGTAGATGTTCTTTCTCCATTTAGGTCCTTGACTCCATGTGACCCTGGCCTGGTGCCCTTCCCTGACCACTTTCATCAGCTGCTCAATGTTCACTCACCATGTGCACTGTCCCTTATCCTAAATCATTCTTTGTAGTTCTTATCAACCCTTAGCTACTATAAATGCCTTTGTGTTGCAGTTTCCTTATCTATAATGTGAACTCCATGAGAACAGTGACTTTATCAGTTTTTTCCTAACACAATGACCAGTAGCTGAAAACAAGTCTGTTGCACTGTAAGTTCTTAATTAATATGTTTAATTAATAAAAATATAATTGAGGTTTGATATCAATTTTGCCAATATGTTGAGCCTTTAAGTCATTGCTTGTGATAGGGAACCATGCATAATAAAAGCCTTCTAGATGAACACTCAGCACATTTCTAACTGCTAACTCTGCTTTGCTGAAGTATTTTATCCTACATTCTCAGTTCTCACACACCTCACATATAGCCCAAATTGTTTCCTGGAACTCATCATGAACCAGACCATCTCAAACTCTCTCATTATTCTTACTTTAAAATGCTATCTCAGTAAGTGGAAAGTGACATTAAATAATTGCTATTTGGTAATTCACGAAGACACACATTAAATATAAATAAACAAGGGTCCATTGCTGGTTATTTTTGAGCCATTACTACATATTTACAAACTATGGAACTAACTGAAAGATTCTAAATGTCCATTTAGAAAATAAACATAATAAGATTTGGCCAGTGCTAAGATAAAGTGCAAACTCCTTGTCTTGAATTTGATCATCAGTGAGCTCAGTAGTCTACAAATCCTAGGCATGGGGACGTGTGTCCATGTCCAATCTGTTTCTCCTGTGACGAAGACTTGAGCATCTCAGTGTTTGCAATGTTGGGCTTGAACATGCTATGAGGGTCAGCTATTCCCTCCAGAGCAGTAGAGTGCAACACGGGAACTCACTTCTATGTTTGCAGTGAGAGTTCTCCTCTTGGAATAATTTCTCTTTATTACTTGAATTTTAGAATTATTTTGTTTTTATAGAAATTTTCAAATATAGTTCAAAATGTTCCCACTTGACTCTGTGGCAGGCTAAATGATGCCCCTCCCAAAAATCTTAATTTTGAAACATTTCAATGTTAATTTACATGTCATTGAAACGTAATGCAGATGTAACAATAAATTAAGGATTTTAGGAAGGAGAGACCAGCCAGGCTTATTTGTGTATGCCCTAAAAAGAGTTCCATGTGTCCTTATAAAATGAAGTTAGAAATATTAACCCATAGACAGTAGAGGAGTTGGCAGTGTTGCTAGGGAACCACATTAGAGTGATGTGACCACAAGCCATGGAATGCTAGCAGCCTCTGGCAGATAGGAGAGGCAAGGGGTAGAGAGAGAGTCCTCTGAAGACTATGGAGGAACCATGGCCCGGACAGGCCATTGATTTCAGCTCATTGAGATGATTTCAGACTTCTGGTTGGAAGAACTGTAAAGGAATCAGTATATATGGTTGTAAACATCCAAGTATGCAGGAATTTATTATATTAGCGGCAATAGGATTATAATTTTGAAAAACCTTGTTGGTTTCTTCTATGTTATAATTTCAGTTGACTATAGAATATTTATTTGGATGAATTCACTAGTGAAACCATATGTTACTGGCATTTTCTTTGTTGGGAAGTTTTTATTATTATACTACATACACACTTTGCACAGACTTGACTTTACATTTTGACTTTAAGAAAGAGCCAGAAGTCACAAGGTACAGATCTGGTGAACAAGGTGGATGAAATGTTTATGTTTTACAAAAATTGGGTAAATTTTTTAATCTATTTAGGACATCAAGGCAGCCATGAAGAGTCACTCAGAAGATGACTTCAAAACTGTTTCAAAAAGTGACAAGAACGATGTGAGAGTTGGGTGAGAAGTAAGGGGAAATATTTTGAAGAGAATTTATGGTATTTTGTCTTCTAGGTAACTTTTTTTTAATGCCAGCAACAAAGACAAATGCTTAATTAAAAATAGCAATGTACCTAAAGAGAATTTCTCAAAAGAGGACCCACAAATGACCAACTGATATATAAAAATTACTCAGTTTCACTAAGTATCAGGGAAAATCAAATCAAATCCACATTTAGACATCTCTTCATTCCAGTAAGAATGGCTTCATTAAAAAGACTAAAGCCAAGAGAGCTGGAGTAAAAAGATAAGCCCTGCACATTGTTGGTGGGAGTGTTAATTAGTAGAAAAACTATGGAAATCTGTAGGTATATTCCTCAGAACATTAGAATAGGACTACTATGTGATCCTCTTATCCCACTACAGAGAACAGATTCAAAGGAAATTAAATCAGTATGCCAAAGAAATTCCATGTTTTTATAGTAATGAAATGGAAAGATCTATGTGCACATCCTGAGTGGATAAATTATATGTAGCACCTGTGCATCATGAAACACTAGTCATCTACAAATGAAGAGAGATCCTGTCACATATAACCAAATGGAGGTAACTGGAATCATTGTCTTCAGTAAATAAGCTAGGTTAGAAAAACAGTTACTGAATAATCTCTCTCCCTTATGGAATCGAATGCAGTTGATTTCATAGAATTTGAGAGGTGGACAGAGTTGGGCTGGAGAGAGGAGGAGGAGGGATGGGGAAGGTTAGTGAGTTGTTACTAGGTCACTGTGAGGACTGTGTGCTATTGCAGAGTAGGATGATGACAGCTATCACCTATGTACTGTGTTCTTCAAACAGGTGGAAGAAAGGATTGGAAGTTTCTACAGTAAAGAAACAGTAAATGTTTGAAGTACGCTTCTATAACTTGACTTAAACATCATAGAAAGTAGACATGTAACATGCATCTCAGTGCCTCCTTAATACATAAAATCTTTATGTTTTTATTTGTAGAACACATTTAATTAAAAAGTTTAACCATCATGGTCCCTACAGACAGTTTAACAGCTTCTTCCCTAAGAGACTGGGATGAGGAGCTGTAGGTATCCTCAGGGGGAAATCTCCAGAGATCACAGTGGCTCATAATTGCCTCCAGATCTCCATGTAGAAGCCTCCAGGATCCCAACAGGACTCAAGCTGACAACAGTTGAGAAGGGATGCATTGCTGCATTGACCCATCAGAGAGAGAGTCCCTGTCACCAGTGCAGGAGAGCTTCTGACCTGAGGACTGGCTGGGAGCCTGCAGCTTCAGCCACGGAAATCCCTTGGAGAGAAGTGACATGGAGGGACTTTTAGGAGGAACTGTTGGAGAAGAGATTTAGAGACCTCTCATTGTTTACAGATGCACTTCTGTGAGTTATGTGAGAGGAGTAATCACATGATGTTTATTTTATAGACGAGGGGAGCATTGTTCTTCCAAGGGGACAGAGGGATTCATGGTGTATATGGGACTTGATCTGTGTGATTGTCCTTTTCTCTATTTTTGCCTCCCTGCCTAAGAGACATTGAAAAATTAGAACATTGCTTAAGACAGAAGCAGCTCCTCTCATAGGACTTCAGCAACATACCATAAATATATTTATGATTTCAAAGCACTATTAATACTGACTATTGTTTCTCACTTAGCAAACTGGGAAGCTCCTACATTCTATAAACATTTTAGTCAGAAATGTAACTTAAACAGGAGCAGTGGCTTAAATATACACATATGATGAATTATTTAACAATACAAGTGTTTTCTAAATATTTTTAAATGGAGATGCACTTGTGGGATAAAATTCTTTCATAGAGAGTTTGGAGATTCACATGACAAATAATGCTTCTTTCTTCCAAAATATGAACAAAAATTAAGAAAAATGATCCTTTGAATTAGTAACATTATATTTGCATCATATATTTGTGTCTCATTTGGAGTTTAAAAAACAAACACAATATAAACCCAGAATAGTCAAGTGATTCTTCTTTAAATTATAAAAGGTTTTTAAACAAATTAATATAATCTAAGTTGCTCATTATTGGAAGATGACGTGAACTCACAGATCTTGAGTTTTTTCTTACCATAACATGATCTTGCAGCATAACATAATCTCTCATTTCAGTTTACTTACTGATATGTAAGAAAAACATATATAACAGATACCACCATTTCTATGTGAACACAGTGTACTTTAAACATAATTGTGTGTGTTAAATTTGATGAACATAATATCTTCATGGGCCTGGTTCACAAATTTAGATTACCAAAAGCTTATATAAAAGATGCTTAAATATAATAGTTTTGGGCTAAATATATTTGAAAAGATGGCATTTTAAATACTATGAAGAAATTTTAAATAGTGTTACTACACAATAAAGGTTCAAATAAAATACTTAAAACATCCAACTTGTTTCTAAAACATATTTGTGAATTAAGCATAGCACATAAACTAAATAGTTCCCATTTCTGCTGTCTGCGAATTTGCTATATGATGACAATAATGAATGAAACAGTGAGTTGAAGAATGATAGACTTTCTCCCCAAGTGAAATATGGATTTCAAAAAAGGAATTTTGAGTGAGGATATCCACATATAGTTGCAGCAGCTGCAATCACATCCATGGAGTAGATCGAGACCCTGAAGCACTGGAGAGCACAGAAAATTGCAGAGTCTTCTGTGGGGGAAAAGGTAAATGGGGAGGGAAACTTCAAGACTTCAAGGTCACCTGCAACCAAAGTCCTGAGTGTCACAGACCTGGGTCACAACTTCTTCAAAACCATTATTCCATCTTAATAATATGTGAGCTGCCACTCATCAGGATGAGCTTTACACCCATCATTGTACTGTCCTTTAGTTACTTTTAATTCTCAAAATAATGCCTGAAAGTCAGTCTCCTTGCTCTATTTATTGAGCAGATGACAATGTCATGTTCACTGTAGGTCCTGGAGGACTAACAACTGCTAGGTGGTCAATGTGCGGTCTGGCATGTGTCCCTTCAGAGCCTATACTCTGTGCTCTGCTGCCTCTGCTGCTCCTCCTTCCCTGGAATCCCCTGAGCCAGGGAGCGTGCTCCACCCTGGTGACCTCAACACACCCCCTGTGTCTAGAGAGAAGCCATGATGGTCAGAAGTTAAACTCCTCTCCAACTTGAGCAAAAGTTAATGCTGCTAACGACAGCATTGTCAGCAAGTGGAGATGCGCTCCTGGCAATAAGTAGGAGATAGTGCAGAAAAGTTTCCAGTTTCATTCAGAACTTGTTAACTCACTGAGACATTTTGTCATTAAAAAAATGTTGTTTTATTGTTTTAGGGGTTTTCATTATTAGCTATAGCTCCAGATGAAATTACCACATGACCAATAAGTCAGTTCCTGATGAAGCCTCAAACACCGAGTTGGAAAGAAAAGAGAAAATAAGTCATAATACATTCTATTAGATTCAATTTGACTTGAGTTTTCTTAAGAACCTCAGAATATGAAACCACTCAGGAAAGGATAAAGTTTAGCATGGGCACACAATAGAGACTGCCACTTAATGCCTGTGCAAACATGAATGAATCTCCCAACTTGTGGTGATCCATAATTTAACTTAATGAAATAACAAAACAAATCAAATATGGCTGGAAAGAGAGACAGAATGGACATATGAAGTGTATTTGGTAGGTAAGCAACTTGGAATGTCAGTTTTTATTGTGTTCTGATGGAGTAAATTTACTGATAGATATATCCACACAGTCATGTGCATGAAGTTCTTAAACTGTCTACACCTCAGTTCATAGATTGGCAATTTTTTAAACATACCTGAAAGATCTATTAAAATTCTTAAGATCTGAAAGTGTAAATGCACATGCTGTTAATAGAATCAGCTTGTGTTCCAAGAAAATTCATCTGGAGAATCTTGAGTATTAATTCTTCTATATTTACATAATAGCTATGGTACTTGTACTTTTATAATTTCAGTTCAATTGCTTTATGTTTCTCTTTGCTACAGCATGAGTAGAGGTTCTGGACAGCACTGATGGAGAACAGGTCAGAGGTGACCGATTTCAACTTGCTGGGTCTGACTGATGACCCACACCTGCAGGTTCCCCTCTTCATCACCTTCCTCCTCATCTACACCATCACTGTGGCTGGGAACCTGGGGATGCTCCTGCTGATCCTCCTGGACCCTCGTCTGCACACTCCCATGTACTTTTTCCTTGGTAACATGTCTTTGGTGGATTTTTCCTCTTCTTCAGTTATCACTCCTATAGTCATTGGTCAACACCTTACAGGAAACAAAATCATTTCCTACAATGCCTGTGCTGCTCAGATGTTCCTCTTTACAACCCTCATTTGTGTGGAAAATTATCTCTTGGCCTCCATGGCCTATGACCGCTATGCAGCAGTGTGCAAGCCCCTGCACTACACCACCACCGTGACCATAAACATGTGTGTGGGACTCGTAATTGGCTGCTATATCGTCTCATTCCTGAATGCTTGCATCCAAACTGGAGTCACATTCAGTCTCTCCTTCTGTAACTCTGATGTAGTCCATGATTTTTTCTGTGATGTTCCAGCAGTCATGGCTCTCTCCTGCTCAGACAAACAAGTTAGTGAGCTGGTCCTTGTTTATGTCGTGAGCTTCCATATATTTTTTGCCATCCTGGTTATTTCAACCTCCTACATCTTCATTTTTGGCACCATCCTAAGAATGCACTCAGCTGCAGGGCATCGCAAGGCTCTGTCCACCTGTGCCTCCCACTTCACTGCTGTCTCCATCTTCTATGGGACAAGTATGTTCATGTACTTACGGCCCACATCCAGTCACTCCATGGACACTGATAAAATTGCCTCTGTGTTTTATACTATAGTCATCCCCATGCTGAATCCAATGGTCTACAGCTTAAGGAACAAGGAGGTCAAGTGTGCATTCTTAAAGGTTAAGCATGCATTCATTTTATCAAGGAAAAATAAGCTGTAGCATTTGATGGTAACTTCGTGAAGTGCACTATCCTTGGAACATTTCCTTCACAGATCTCCAGGTACTATGTTCCATTTTGAGGTCCACACTGACATTCCATTTCTGAAGTAATACTCTAATTGGTCCAAATGCCTTTGACATGAAAAAAAATAAAAACCATGTGAAAAAATAAATACAGTTTGAATGATTAAGATATCCTGAGGTCAGCTGTCTAAAATATCCTTAAGGATGTTGAAATATCCATGCATAATACAGGTCTTCCTTTGCATACATTATACCATTGCAGACATGTGTACAACAGGCTTAAAGAAGCTCATAAATAGAAGCAATGTCCACAGTGGTCTCAGGATGACGAATAGAAATGGATGTCATAGGTTTCCCTAGACTTGAATATACTGTAGTATTTGTGGCAGTTAATTTTATGAGTTGATTTTCCTTGCTTAAGGTGTATTCAGGCAGCCAGGAAATGATCACTGTGTGTCTGTGAGTGTGTTTCCAGCAGAGTTTAGGATTTAAAGTAGTGGGCTCACAAGGGAGATCTGTCATCTTTGCTGTGGGGTAAGTTTTCTCTCTCTCCCTCCCTCTCTGACATCTAAGGCATTCACTTTCTGACAATCTTAGATATCAGTTAATGACCTGTACCTCTTCTTGGTCTTTGGTCTCCTACACTCACACCAGACCCTTCCCCTACTCTATCCCAGGCCTTTGTCTCAGACTCAGTGAGCCCCTGCCAGCCTTGTCCTTGTGATTGCTGAGGGAGCATCAAGGGACTTCACCACCTCCCTGTTATATCCTACTATGCCCTTAAAAAATATCTGCTTTCAGGTCTACAAGTATTTTGTTGATTCTTTTCATTTGAGATCCCTGCCTAAAACACTAGTGTTTAAAAGTTGTAATTTAACACTTGATTTGTGCAATAAAATACAGTATTTGTTAAGACTTCATTTTTTGATAATATGCTAGAGTCTAACTTTGAAAAAATAAGATTTTGAAATGAAAAAGTTTCTCTTTACATAGTTCAATGAGCAATGCATAAATCTTGCATCTCATATGAATTAGGATTTCTTTTTCACTGTGTCACTTGATACATCTAACATTTTCATATTTTAATTTTCAAAAGGATAAAAAAGATAAGAAAATTTCAGAAATATACTCACCATTTTTTTTTATTTTTATATTACTACACATTCAATTTAAAAGTTAAATCTAGCAATTTATAACATTTTATATTTTTTCTGCAAACTCACCAAATAGTAATGCTTATGTATTTGGTACTTTTGTTTAGTTGGATTTCCCCTCGCTCACTCATGTTTTTCCCGTCTTCTTTTGCATTGATTTTTTTTTGCCATTTACTTACAAATGCAACCAAACTCACACCACAGGCCCTTTGCACTTGCTCTTCCTGATGTGTGCATTCTCACTCCATTCAGGAGCCTGACTCCATGGGATCCCGACTCCATGGGATCCCATCATGGAGCCCTTCATTGTCCATCTTCTTTAGTTGCTCAGGCTCCTGTCATCAAGCACCCTGTCTCCTACTCATAAATCATACTCTGCACTTGTTATCAACCCTTCACTACTATACATGCTTATGTGTTGTTCATTTACCTTCCCCAAAGAGAATGCAAAATCCACAAGACCAGTGGTTTTATCTGATTTTCATAACATGATGACCAGTAGCTGAAAATGTCTCTGTTGCACCATAGACTCTCCATAAATACTTGTTAATTGTATGAAACGAAAATAGAGGTTTATGACTAATTGGGCAAACAAGTTGGGCCCTTGAAACATTGGTTGTGACAGTAAATCCTATAGAAGGAAACCTTCTGGATCAACATTTTGTGCATTTGAAGAGACAATGCTCATTTGGGGATTTGCCCAAATGGTTTTTCCTACATTCTCCCACTCCCTACTTGCAGACAAAATGATTTTCTGGAAATCCCATCATCACATGGATCATCTCAAATCTCTTGTTTTTCTTTTTTTTCCTTAAAAGCTATGATGCATTGAGGGGCAAATGATATCAACTAACTACTATTTCACAGGTGGAGGAGGCAGGAGGTAGGGAGTCCTTTGGAGTCCATGGGCCTGGCAGACCATTGATTGCAGACTTTCAGTTCATAGAACTGTAAAGGAATCAGTTCGCATTGCTGTAACCTCCACGTTTGTAGCAATTGATGACAGCAAGATAGTGATCTAATAAAATCCTGGCTGGCTCCTTCTGTGTTATGGTCTTATTTGATTACAGAACGTTTGATTGTGTAAATTCACTAGTAAAACCACTGGGGCTTCTCTCTCAGGAACTCACTTTTATTGTTTCTTGATCTCAGGTTGCTTTGGTTTTACCTTTCATGGCCATTTTGACTTTAATGCAGAGTCAGAAGTTAGACAGTGACAGATCTGGTAAAGAAGGTGCAGGAGGACTCACTGTAAGGTTTTCAGAGGATGGAAATTACCATAAACATTTTGAACCAAACAAGAACATGGAGGCAGGCAGAAGACACTCATGAAGGAGAATGTCCATAGGGTCATGAAGATGGCAGAAGAAAAACTACAGCAAACAATCAAAATGTACCAGAAGAGGAGCAAAGAAGGGATTCCAGAATTGCTTCCAGGGCTAGCAGTTTTTAATCTTATGAGTCACATTTCTCTTTGCCCTCTGTACAGTCTGTGAGTGTGGATGGCAGCTACTCGGTTTAAGGGACCTCTGTCCTCAGTCTCCTGTCTGTCGAAGCTGTTCAGGCTGTGGTGTTGGACCAGGAAAGGTGTGGGACCTTGGTTCTGAGGCTCCTGTCATGGGTTCTTGCTGGCTGGGGACCAAGGCTGGTTACACAATGTGTATTCAGGTGAATGTGGCTGTGGGACAGGCTCTGACACCAGGTGGAGGCTCCTGTGGAGCCAGCACTCCCAGAGAACTAAATCCACCTGAGTCAAACATGGGGAGATTTCTGCAGGCCCAGCAAGGTGGCAAGGCTCTGGGTACTGTCTCATAGGCATCCAAAGTACCAGCCAAAACAGGCAGACCCTTAGCCCTTGCTGCTAAACTGGGCAGAGAACTGGCCTACTGTGTGAGGCAGGAATTGTGCCTGGGTTCTGACAGTATGTAGAGGGGATATTCTGGTGTGCTTAGTGGAGGTGGAGTACCTAGGTGCTGAAGGGATGCTGCTGCAGTCCAGGTGAACCAGGTAGAGATTCACACAGGCTGGGAACACCCTGTGTAAGGCCAGGTTGTCTGGACACTAGTGCTACATGTCAGATGAAGTCTCTGGTGAATCTTGAAGTGGAGCAGGGCAGTGAGAACTGGGTATAGGCTCAAGTGAACCCAGAGTGCTGAGTTCGGACTCAAACTGGACTACTGTTAGCTCTGTGTGCCAGATGAATGTCCCAGTTGGCATGGGACACACTACAGGCTGCAGGCTTTGGCTTGAGTATGCATGGGATCCAGTACTGTAGACTCCCACACAGATAACTATCTGTCTGAAGACAAGTGGGTGCGGAAGGAGTAGTTCCCATCCTGGGTCACTCCCTCTTTATGTGGGCTGAGGAAAACGCTACCAGGCTGCAATGTTCTCGGCATTTGGAGAGGAGACTGGAGATGAAGGACCTGGGTACTCCCAGTTTCCCTTGATAGGCCTGACTCTGCTGCATTGCTAGGGATCTTTGGGCTAGCTAGGAACTTCTCAAAAATGGCTGATCCCACAGGAAACAAGGGCTGAGGCAGAGGTTCTGCCAGATCTCTTTTCCTCTTTTAAACTCCAGTGCTTATGTTTTATTTCAGCCACAGATCTCTTCTTTCAAATGCTTTCTTTTATTTTTGTTTTTTGCAGCAGGGTGTATGTGTCTCCCTCTCTTCCAATTACCCACGTTTTTAGGTGGTCTTCTCTGAGTCTCTCAGAGGAGGATCCTCTTCTATTCTGCCATGTTGGATTTCTCATATTAAAGCCAAAAGACACAAATTGGGAGACTGGATAAAAAAAAACAAACACAAAACCCAGCAGTCTGCTGCATTCAAGAAACACATCTAATGCAAAAAAAATATTCATAGATGAAAATCAAGGCTCAGAAACAATATTTCATGGATCAGAACAGTGGAAACTAGCAAGACTTTAAATTTTAATCTCAGACAATGTAAACATCAACCTAAAATTGTTCAGTAGGGACGAAATGGTCATTATGTACTAGTTAAAGTAACAATTGAATGGGTAGAGATAATGCTTCCAAATATTTGTGCATTGAATACTAGAGCACTTATCTTCGTATAATGACTACCACTAAACATACAAAATCAAATAAGTACTAACACAATGATACTAGGGGAACTTAACAATCCACTTCCACAAAGAGATCAACTAAACAAAAAAATCAATAAAGAAATATCAGAGTTGAATCACACCCTTGAATATATGGACTTAGTAGATATCCACAGATTATCTTAGTCTACTACAATAGAGCTTACATTCTTTTCTGCAGTACATGGTGCTTTTTCTAAAATAGATCACCTATTAGTCCACAAAACTTGTTTAAATATATACAAACAAATTGAAATCAGCCCATGTTTACTAACAGATCACTGTACAATGAAAATAGAAATCAACCTCAAAAGAAACCACAGAAAATTGAGAGCCACTTGGAAATGTAGTAGCACACTCCTGAACACAGTGAGTCAGAGAAGAAATCAAGAAAAAAAATTTAAAACTTGGAAGTTAATGACAGTACAACGTATCAGAAAATTTGGGATACATGGAAAGCACTCTTCAGAGGGAAGTTTGTTGTAATTAATTATCACATTTGTAAAACAGAGAAATCTCAAATAAATAACCTAATGAGGAATGCTAAGATACTTGAGAAAAAACAATCCTGACCCAAATGAAAATTAAGGAAGAAAATAATAAAGATTAGGGGGGAAATGAAATGGAGACTGAAAGTCAATACAAAGAATCTACAAATCAAAGGACTTGCTCTGTGAAAGAATAAAAAATAGACAAACTCTTAGCCAAACT